GCAGGGGAAATGGGCAGAGGGAGAAACAGACTCTCCGCTGAGCAAGAAGTCCAGTGAAGAACTCGATCACAGGACCCTGAGGTCATGACCCAAGCCAAGGGCAGACACTTAACAACTGAGCCATCCAGGCACCTGAAAACACTGTATTTTTTAATCACACAAGTGATTTGTCACAGCACTCCAGCTGGTCTGAAGGGTTAACTTGCTTCAAGTTAACACACTCCTTGCTTGCTGACTTAAGGCTCTTCATCTGTAACAGAACTAATTTACTTTCAGGGCGCCTGGGTGGCTCAGCCAATTAAGAGTCTGCCTTCAGCTCAGGTCATGATCCCAGGATCCTGGGATTGAGCCCCGCATCGGCTCCCTGCTCATCGGGGAGCCTGCTTCTCCCTCTCTCACTCCCTCTGCTTGTGTTCCCTCTCCTACTATCTCTCTCTGTCAAATAAATAAATAAAATCTTAAAAAAGAAAAAGAATAATTTACTTTCTTTGAGATTTGCAGGCCACTGGCCTTGGGGAATAAAGGACCACAACGTTCCCAGGCCACCACAGAGGCCAGCAAGTCTGAAGCCCCCTTAGCTTTCTGATTAGCCCAGCAATCTTTTAGCAAAATGTTTTTCATTTTTAAGGTCACACAAAATGACTTCACTGGCCTCCCTTTGCGCATCTGTAGAACTTGCCCTCCTTTGCAGAAAGAACAGAGTATTTACTCTTGCATAACCCCCGGGCACCAAGGAACCAGAATTTACTTACTTACTTATTTTATTTATTTATTTATTTATTTTAAGATTGATTTATTTGAGAGAGAGTGTGAGCGTGGGGCGGGGGGGGGGGGCGCAGGCAGAGGGAGAGGGAGAGAGAGAGAATCTCAAGCAGACTCCCCACTGAGCGTGAAGCCTGATGCAGGGCTCCATCTTACGACCCTGAGATCATGACCTGAGCCAAAATCAAGAGTTGGACTCTTAACCTACTGAGCCACCCAGGTGCCTTGGAACCAGAACTTCTTGCACAACCTCCGAGTACCAAAATAACTCTGTAGCTGGCATCGTCGCACCTATATTCAAGATATGTCACAGACCACTGCACTCTGTTAACTGATTAAACCCCTTTAAAAATCTTGGGCCAGGCAAAAGCCTGGGAGTTGGCCTATTCAGGTGGCCAGCCTCCGGAATAAAGCTCACACTCCTTTCCAAAAAACTTGTCTCTTGAATATTGGCCTTTTGAGTGATGGGCAGCCAAACTTGGGTTTCAGTAATGATGTATGTTTTATGTAGAAAACCCAGAACATACAAACAAGTAAAGAAGAAGAAAATAAAAGTCACCTGAATCCCACCATCCAAAGATAATCGCTGTTAAATATTGTGGCGTAAAGACTCCCCAACTTTCTTGAGTAATATGTATTCTTAGAAAGAAACAACAGGCCCCAGTGGAGTCACTTTTGCTAAACCCCACCAAGCCTCAACACCTAACCTAATTGTACTTCTAGCCATTCCCAGCAGTGGAATTTTATACCAATTACTTTGGAATTTCCAGATCTGCACTAGTGAGGTAAACTGCATGATAAGACCCCTTGCCTTCCCCTAAGGGAAGGTAACCTTACCTGAAATAATCCACTCTTTTAACTTCTTTGTCCCACCCTCTTTCTGCCAGCAAGAAACCTGCCATTTTGTACAACTTGGAGTTCCTTGCTACTTGCTAGATGGGATGCTGCCTGATTCATAAATTGTTGAATAAAGCCAATTAGATCTTCAAATGTATTCAAATTTTGTTTTTTAACAGTATGGATGTATGTATGGATAGACAGGTATACACATACACATTACACATACGTAAATGTCCCCCGAATGGGATCCTACTACAACACTTATTTTGTCTTTTATTTCCCCACCCAGTGATACATTAAGAACATTACTCCATGTCATTCAATTGTATTTCTGAAGATGGTTATTAAAATCTGCTCTTAGAGTGAGAACTAAGTAGCACCACAGGAAAAGTGATGAAATTTAAAATAAGTCAGGCTCCAAAAGATGCCTCTCAGTCACAAGGGAATCTCAAAGACAGACAGCAACAACATTCTTTGAGGAAATCACAAAATGTTGAGAAAAGAAAAAGATGAGGTCACGGGAAGGACTGGGAGGAGGAGATGTTTGTACAGGATGTAGAAAAGATACATTCACAGCCCTCTTCTAGCTGAGTTTATACCCCAGCTTTGTGAGCAGAGGAGCACAGCTCATCCCCCTAGTTCACTGCAGGATGTGTATTGAAAACCACTCCCTCAAAGGCAATTAAAGCTCCCACTGACAAACCAGACCTGCCCTCTTCAACATTTCCCCAAGGGATCTGATATTACGGCCTTGCCAGCACACACAGCCTGTGTGTCAGTTAGGAAGAGGGCTCCCCCTCCTGCTGTCCTTTCTAGACACTGCAGCCCTAAACTAGGGCACAGGAATTGGGAGACTATCATTTGGTATCAGCTCATACTGCTCCCCCCAGCCCACCCTAGCTCATACTTCGATTCCTGGTCTGTTCCTCACACAATGGACTTGTCTGATATGATTTACTTAAACTTCTACAGAACATATGCAAAAATAATCTTAATCTCCACATCCCCACACCCCAAACCAGGCTAGGGACACACAAGCCATCTTACAGGGCTTTGCTCCATAATAATAAATTATTATTACTATAGCTATCATTTTTTAAGTGTTTAGCTCTGTACCAGACCCTGTGCTAAGTGCCTTAGATGCATTATTTTATCCTTACAACAACTCAATGAAGAAGTAGGTTCAGGGGAGCCTGGGTGGCTCAGTCGTTAAACGTCTACCTTCAGCTTGGGTCATGATCCTGGGGTCCTGGGATGGAGCCCCGCATCTGGCTCCCCGGAGAGCCTGCTTCTCCCTCTCCCACTCCCCCTGCTTGTGTTCCCTCTCTTGCTGTCTCTCTCTGTCAAATAAATAAAATCTTTAAAAAAAAAAAGAAGTAGGTTCAATTATTATTCCCATTTTACAGATGAGATTACTGAGACCGAAGAGAGTAACTTGACTCAGCTAATGCCACAGATAATGAGTGAGAAGGAATCAATTCTAGTTGGTCGGCTTCCCGCAAACATTTCCTGTGCACCTCCTGTATGAAAGGCAGTATACTAAACTCAAGAGAAAAAGGCATACAGCAGTCCTTTCTTTGAAATCCCACCATCCTTGAAAGAGTTTACAGTTTAGGAAGGAAAATGACAAGTACATAATATACCAATACAAGGCATAAGGTGCTAAGTTCACGTGAAAGGGTCAAAGTTCTCTTGTGATTAGAGATGCGAGGGCCTTTGAGGAGATGGAATGTGAAATGGGCTTTAATAAGGGTTTTCACAAAAGACGTTTGGAGGACAGCATTTAGGGGAAACAGCATGAGTAAAGAAAGGTATGGCAAATACAGGCAAGGAAGAGCAAATAGTTAAACTTCTAGAAGTAGAGCTTAGGGGAACTGTGACTGATAAAGCTGTAACATTACGTGACTTCAGAACCTAGCTACAGAGCTCGGAATGGTCGACGGAGTATCAGATGGGTTTTGAGAGAGGTAATGGTAAATCTGGGGCCACAACTTGAGAAAATTTTGTTGTCACTACCTGTGTTATAAACTGGCATAGGGAGAAATCAAAGTTAGAGACCAGTTGGGAAACTTATAATAGACCAAAGTTTCTTGGTCTCAGCACTAATGACATTCTGGATCAGATAAATATCTGGAGGGGGAGAGTGTCCTTTGCACTGCAGGTGTTTAACAGCATGTCTGGCCTCTACCCACTGCATATTTTAACATTCCGCCCCATCCCCAGTGTTTCCTGGGAGGCAAAATCGCCTCAGTTGAGGACAACTGTATTAGACCATATTACAGTCAGAAATTTTAAAAGGTGAATGTGACCCGTGGACAGGGTTAAAACATAAAAGCTTTGGCAAGTGTTTGGATAGAAGTGTGACTGAAGAGGATGGAAGGATCAAACAGATGTAGTCTAACATACTCCTAATTGCTTGCAACACTGTAAACTTCAGAAGGGCAATTTGGTAAACCCTTTTGAAGGGAGTTTGGTAAAACCTATTAACAATCACAAAAGCTATCTTGCCCTTTGACCCAGCAATTCCATTCCTGGAAATTTATCTCAAATGATTCAAATGAAGACACAATCTTCATGTACAAAGCAACAGTATTTACAGAGAATAGTGACCTTGCTGTTCTCAACAATTGCACCCTCATGCCTACCACATTTAATAGTGCCTGTTAAATGAGAGGCTCAGATTTAAGAGGTCAATTTAAGATTCAGAGAAAGTGTGATCGAAGATTCTGAGGAGAGAAGTCGTAGCTAAGGAAACAAAACCCCAGATGGGGTGGAAAAGGCAGATATCAAGAACGCAAGTAGAAACTCTTATAACTTATTCCCATATCATAGAGGGCAATGACTCAGATTTTGTATATCCTTGCATTCTTTTTTTTTTTTTTTAAGGTAGGCTCCACCCCCAACGTGGGGCTTGAACTCACAACTCAGATCAAGGATCACACGCTCTGCTCTACATTCTGAGCCAGCCAGGGGCTCCCCCCAACCCCAAAAGACTGAGATTTTTTGTATTGGTCAAAGGAAGGAAGGAAATTAGGGAGTCAATCAGTGACGTCATCTGCTGAGAAAGAAGACCCGGTGGACCCAAGGTTTGAACTTTGCCCGAAGAATCTCGATCTTTGCCCAAGAACATTCCTTGAAAATAGGAATTGTGCGCTTTTCCGTGCAAAGTTGGGGAAGAACACGCTGTTCAGAAATGAGGACGTCCTAGGGAACACCCCAATATACAGAGATTAAAGATGAAGAGTTAATTAAGTAGACAACTTTCTCCCGGAGTCCCCAGCAACTTGGTTTTTAAATTGCCCTGCAAATGTGGAACCCTTGCTAATTCAGCAGGGACACCGCTATTCTGTGAGAAGCTGGGTACTGCCAGCCGGGTGAGCGTGAGGCTCCGGGGGGAAGAATGGCAGGCGTGGCCACCCGGGAGGCGGCTGGAGGCCGCGCCCCCTTCCCAGAGTGCCTCGCTGCGGCTCCCCGCGAGATCCCTTTTCTACCCAGCCCCGCCGGCCTCGGAAGGGGCTCCCGCCATGGACGGGCTGCGGACTAGCACGGGGCTGTTGAGGCGCGGGAGGTTGAGACGCCGGCGCCAGCCGCAGCCACACAGCGGGTCGGTCCTGGCCCTGCCCCTGAGGCCCAGGAAGATCCGAAGGCAGCTTAGGAGAAGCGTGGCGTCCCGCATGGCCGCACTGAGGGCCCAGACGCTGCCCAGCGAGGACTCGGAGGACTCGAGGGTGGAGTCGACGGTCGACGATCCGGGGGACCCGCTGCCTGGTGGGGCGGCGGCCATCCCCGATGCGGCCCGGCGGGAGCCGTATGGCCACCTGGGGCCTGCAGAGCTGCTGGAGGCCTCCCCCGCGGCCCGCTCCCTCCAGACACCCCGCTCCCTGGTGGAGGCGCAGACCCCGCCGGCCCGCCTGGTGGAGGCGCAGACTCCGCCGGCCCGCCTGGTGCCGGCTTCCGCGCCGCCCGCGCGCCTGGTGGAGGTGCCCGCCGCGCCGGCCCGCGTGGTAGAAACCTCGGCCCTGCTATGCAATGCCCAGCACTTGGCGGCCGCCCCTCTGTCCGTAGCTCCCGCCACGCTGTCGGGGCCGCAGGTGGACAGCACGGGCGGGGAGCTGGCCTGGGACTCCCCGCTGCAGCGCGTCCTGGCCGAGCTGAACCGCATCCCCAGCAGCCGGCGGCGGGCAGCGCGCCTCTTCGAGTGGCTCATCTCGCCCATGCCGCCCGACCATTTCTACCGGCGCCTGTGGGAGCGGGAGGCGGTGCTGGTGCGGCGGCAGGACCACGCCTACTACCAGGGGCTTTTCTCCACCGCAGACCTGGACTCCCTGCTGCGCCACGAGGAGGTGCAGTTCGGGCAGCACCTGGACGCCGCTCGCTACGTCAACGGGCGGCGTGAGACCCTGAACCCGCCCGGCCGCGCGCTGCCCGCCGCCGCCTGGTCCCTGTACCAGGCCGGCTGCTCCCTGCGCCTCCTCTGTCCGCAGGCCTTCTCGACCACCGTGTGGCAGTTTTTGGCTGTGCTCCAGGAGCAGTTTGGAAGCATGGCAGGCTCCAACATTTACCTCACGCCCCCCAATTCGCAGGGCTTTGCCCCCCACTACGACGACATCGAGGCTTTTGTGCTGCAGCTGGAAGGTAGGAAACTCTGGCGCGTGTACCGACCCCGGGTCCCGACGGAGGAGCTGGCCCTGACATCCAGTCCCAACTTCAGCCAGGACGACCTCGGTGAGCCGGTGCTGCAGACCGTGCTGGAACCCGGAGATTTGCTCTATTTTCCTCGGGGCTTCATTCACCAAGCCGAATGCCAGGATGGGGTGCACTCTCTGCACCTCACCTTGTCCACGTACCAGCGCAATACCTGGGGCGACTTCCTGGAGGCCGTACTGCCTCTGGCAGTGCAGGCTGCAATGGAAGAAAATGTGGAATTCCGAAGGGGTCTCCCCCGAGACTTCATGGATTACATGGGGGCCCAGCACTCGGATTCTAAGGATCCACGAAGAACGGCTTTTATGGAGAAGGTGCGAGTCCTGGTTGCCCGCTTGGGACACTTTGCTCCTGTCGATGCTGTGGCTGACCAGCGAGCCAAAGACTTCATCCACGATTCTCTGCCCCCTGTGCTGACTGATAGGGAGAGGGCACTAAGTGTTTATGGGCTCCCAATTCGCTGGGAGGCTGGCGAACCTGTGAACGTGGGGGCCCAGTTGACAACGGAAACAGAAGTGCACATGCTGCAGGATGGGATAGCTCGGCTGGTGGGTGAGGGAGGCCATTTGTTTCTCTATTATACAGTGGAGAACTCCCGTGTTTATCATCTGGAAGAGCCCAAGTGCTTGGAGATATACCCTCAGCAAGCTGATGCCATGGAACTCTTGCTGCGCTCCTACCCAGAGTTTGTGAGAGTAGGGGACCTGCCCTGTGACACTGTGGAGGACCAGCTTTCCTTGGCAACCATGTTATATGACAAGGGGCTGCTGCTCACCAAGATGCCTCTAACCTGAACTAGTTTCTTGTTGATTGCTGGAAGCAAGACAGTGGTGATTCTCTTAACTACCATTACCACCTTTTTGGCAGGGGGCTGGGGGATGGGTGGGGGGACTCATGTTCTTACCTTGAGAACCATTTACCTTTATGACTGCTTACATTTACCTTTATGACTGCTTTAATGTCACAAATTTCAGATGGCTTTCTAGGAATCACCACTTCATCTAGGCACAAAAGCAAAAGCAGAAGTTGGAGGTGGAAAAAGGAGCTCTTTCTGCAGAAGTAACTTTGATCCCTGATTATTTCAGAGCACCAGCCTCATCATCACCCCCAGGCTTCAGTGTACTGTGTAGCACTTGCTGTGTGGTTCTGCTTGAGACATCAGATGTTTTTATTTGGGATTTGCATCCTTCATTTGAGTTCTCTTTCCTCAGTTTGGGGGGAGGGTTGGGGTCAGTATCCTGTTTGTTACTGTGAGTTTGTATGTTAGAAAAGTTATTAAAGTGCCAAAGAATGTTTCTCTTTTTTAAGGCTAGATTATTATGTGACGTGTTTGAAGGAATTGGGGGGGGGTAGGGAAAATCTGTAATGGTTGAGGTGAAAGGTAACTTGGGGTGGCTGTAGGATTGGGGCCAATTATATAACTTTGGGGGTAATTTATTTTAATCATGCTACTTGAACCCCAAACATCACAATCCTATTGGAAAAGTTAAGAGTGTATTATGTTTTTGTTCAGTGCTTGCTTGCATCAGTAGCTGGCATTGCTCCCAAAGGACAGCATGTCACCTACTTGTGCCTCAGTCAACCAACTTGTAGCAAGCTGGCCATGAAGGAAAGGAAGGCTGGTGTTCAAGTTACTTTCCACTCTCATTTTTTTCTGGCAGTTGGAGGAATCTTCCCCAAACCTGGCAAGTGACTGTTCTCATGGTTGGTGGAAGAGAGCCTGGTGTACCAGAGAGAGCACGGGACTTGGAGCCAGAAGACCTGGGTTTGGGGTGGTGGCTGGTAGGCCTGAATGAGCTGAGGCTGCTGCTACACCTGGGCACACAGATTTTGTAAGTATATTTTGGTATAGCTTGATGTCTGCACTTCATTTAGGTTGTCTGGAACTTTAAGATCCTATCACCATAACTGACAGGTGCAGTTATATAAGGTTGAGAATTTTATGAAGTTTTTTTTAAGTTGGGAAAGCATGGATATACATAAAGTGATAGCTTTCTCTCCAACCCCACTTTCCAGAGGTAACTACTATTAAAAGTTAAACTTACAAGGCTTTGTTTGGATGCATAATCAAACATAACAGTAGTTTTTGTTTTGTTTTCCTAACCTCTCATTTTTTGACCTAACTTTCAAATCCGTTAAATTAGAACTACCTCATTCTTTTTTTTTTTTTTTTAAGGGACAAAATAGCAAATTAAAAGCCAGGGAGCGGGCAGGAAAAAAATAAAAGGACTGAGAAGATGGTGGCCAAAAACGAAAGGTAGCAGCCTTTCCTGACTCATCCTACAGGGCTAGAAATTAAACTTCCCAAATGTCCAGATCCCGGAAGAGGCTTGTTAAAGGAGTCGAGGCATACGACTCACCCCTTGGAAACCTACCCTGAAAAGTTTCTTGTAGAAAAGTATGGAGTTTCAGTGGTTTTTGCCCCTCCTTGGGTTGCAAGTAAACACGTTTTGTTTCTTCCTTCACTTTTCCTATGACCCTCTCCATCTTGAATATTTTCTCTGTCAGCAAGTCCTTTTGGCTTAGTATTTGAATCTAGATCAGAAGAAATGATGTTGAAAAAAACTGTATTAGGCTGCAAATCATCAAAAACCATTAATAAAGTAACTTACTGCATTGTGCTTAATTGGTATTAGGTTGTACAATCCCTCGGCATTCTTCTGATGTTGGCTGGACATTTTTTACACCCATTAATGAAAAATCTACTTTAGCTTTTTGGGCATGATGAAAGGAACCTGCTAAGAAATGCTTGCTTTGTGTGAAGCTGGTTTTGTGAATTATATGAAGAAAGAATCTTATATTTTTAAAGTCTTTGTCCCTCTATTTCTTTTTTTTTTTTTTTAAGATTTTATTTATTTATATGACAGAGACAGCGAGAACAGGAACACAAGCAGGGGGAGTGGGAGAGGGAGAAGCAGGCTTCCCGCTGAGCAGGGAGCCCGATGTGGGACTTGATCCCAGGACCCTGGGATCATGACCTGAGCCGAAGGCAGATGCTTAACGACTGAGCCACCCAGGCGCCCCTGTCCCTCTATTTCTTCATCTCATCTAACAGCTTTGAAAAATTAGAACCGCCTGTTTAGCTAGAGCATTCCTTTGGTAAAACCCCAGTTTAGGGATTAAGGAAAATTAAAAAGAAAAAAATCAAGGGGGCTAGCTCCAGTCACTCATTCCTTCTCTAGGTCTACTTATAAAAAAGAACAACTTGGGTTTAGTTGATGGTGGGGAGAAAATGGTAAGGGAAGGAAAAACAAGTATTTCAGAAATAATAACCCACTTTGAGGGTTACTTGATAAGGCTGACAGGATTATTGTTTTTACTTTGTCTTTACTAGGATTTTATAATGTGATTTTTGCATAAATGTTTTGTATCTTCAGAAAATATGGTACCTGTGTGGTTGTAGAAAGTATTTCTGTGATGGAGAAAAGGGTCTAAGGAACTCTTGAGAGTCCTGAATTTTCTCTTGAAAACATGGCTTGCACTTAACTTACCCTGTTCTTGATCTTCTGAAGCATTTCTTGGTTTCCTTCATTTTCTAAGTTGAGTATCTTCATTGCCTGATGAATTTCCCTGAAAGATAAAAGGAACTTCTTATTCTTAGATCATTCTTACCTTTTTTTTTTTTTTAATTTAGGAAGTTGGGGGTGGGAAGGGCAGAGGGGGAGAGAGAATTCTAAGCAGGCTCCACACCCTGAGCTGAAATCAAGAATCAGATGCTTAACTAACTGAGCCACCCAGGTGTCCCAGATTGTTCTTACTCTTTTTTCTTTCCTTTTTTTAAAGATTTTATTTATTTTTGAGAGAGAGCTGGAGGGGGGGGGGAAGGGCAGAGGGAGAAGCAGACTCCTTCCTCACTGAGCAGAGAGCCCAATGTGGGGCTCGATCCCAGTACCCTGGGATCGTGACCTAAGCCAAAGGCAGACACTTAACCGACTGAGCCACCCCGGTGCCCCAGGTTGTTCTTATTCTTAAAAAAAAAAAGCATAAGGTAGACAATAGAGGAGTAGGATCAATCAAGAATCCTAAATTCCAATCCCAATCCTAACTGCAGTTTTGCTAAGCTTTATCTGCAAAAATGGTATGATGCTTAGCTTATAAAGATGTTGTATAGTTTTTAAGATGATATATTTGAAGATACTAATGGTACCATTTATTGAACACTTTCATGGTGTATACTAAACATGTCATCTCTTTAATCATCACCACAGACCCATAAGGCAGACAATTACCTGCATTTGATATCTGAAAAAATGAGCTCAGAAAGTTTAAGTAACTACCCATGTTCACATAGCTAGTGTATGCCTGAGCTGGGATTCAAACTCTGGTCTTTTTGGGGCACCTGGGTGGCTCAGTCATTAAGTGTCTGCCTTCGGCTCAGGTCATGATCTCAGGGTCCTGGGATCGAGCCCCGCATCGGGCTCCCTGCTCAGCGGGAGGCCTGCTTCTCCCTCTCCCACTCCCCCTGCTAGTGTTCCCTCTCTTGCTGTGTCTCTCTGTCAAATAAATAAATAAAATCTTTAAAAAAAAACAAAACAAAAAACTCTGGTCTTTTTGACTCTAAAGGCTGTCATCACAGTAGGCACTTGATAAATGTTAGCTGAATAAATGAATCATTTAAAACCACCTGGGGTGGAGAACAGGTATGTGAACTACATAACCTGACTTTCCATTCAATTAGGCCAGTTTTTCTGTTACCCACTTAAGTAGGCAGGTGAATGGCGCAGGTGAGCCTGCACTTACAGCCATTAGGCATCCTGGAAAGGCAGGGATATATTCTGTTAAAAAGGATGGGAGAATTGGTGGTACAAGAGGTCGTGGCAGGATTCAGGTTTAGAGCTTACTTTAGAACAGCCTCATGGTTCTCTAGGAGCAGCACGTCTAGGAAGGTGTCCCTGACCCGGTCCCCTTGAAGATTGAGGGCTAGGATGCTACGGCAAGCTTCTAGTCGTACACCTGGTGACTCTTCATAATGGATGGCCCAGAGCAGGAGGTCTGTCACCTGGGGACTCACTTGGCCAATCTGACCCAAAGCTGCAGAGATTAGAGGGCAGCATGTTCCACTGTCACTTAAGATGGAGTTGGCTGTATCCTAACATCCAGAAATGGCCTTATTAACAAATAACAGTAATAATATATAGACAGCTGCCTGCTAAATTAAGTATTGCAAACATTAAACTATTTTGTTAGTATCTTCTCTTTTGGATGACAATTATCATTAGAATTTTAGGGATGGGTTAGAGTAGGACATCTCCAAAGGATTCCTGTGGGGATGAGGAGGAAGGATCCATCCCATCCTTGCCCATTAGGATGTGAGAATACACTACTTTACTTTCCTTATTTATGTAGGGAATGAGATGTGGGACAGATAACCCAGAAGACCAGCCTAGTCAAGGCAAGATAATGGGGAAAGGAGACACAATTACTTAACAGGTTTACCTAAAGCAGAGATGGTCAACGAGAGCAGGAATGCCAAAAATCCTTAAAAAGAAACTAGGAAAGTTTGAGGTCAGGGTTTTAAATCGGCAGCAGTCTTGAATCGTCTTTTACAGGGTCCTATAGTTGAGGCCTCCAGAGCAAGTGTATCCAATAGCGGATACCTACTTAGAACTTAGTACTAAATCTGTTGGCAGGGACTGTCCTTTTAGCCCTTTGCCATAACAGATTTGACATAAACCTAGATTCAGAATCCTGAACGAAACATTAGAAAGAAGAAAGTAACCTTCAATTACTCAGGCAAGAACTTCTGAGAAGGTGTAACCATCTCTTCCCCTACATTCTACCCCTTCCTAGGGAGAGTCTGGGGATTTATACCAGCATGTGAGAAGGTATTTGAGGTTGAGAAGCTGGGGCCACTCCCATACTACCTTGAATGGCAAATGCCTTGATTTTCCAGTAAGGATCCCTCTGTATCAGATTCAAAAGGCATTCAAGGACCTGGGATGAATAAAAGGGCAGTGTTGAGTGGAGAGAATCAGAGCAAGAATGAACCAGAGACAGGGACCCCTCTCATCTCTAAAACGTGCTATCACTGAAAAATGGGCTTCTATCAATTCTAGTGACAAATGAGCTGGAAGCTGAAGTACTAGCCTGCACACATAGTGTATTAGCTGAATTATCTCCTGTCTAGATTGATTTTCCTCAACCCAGAGTTCTGTGGTCATACAGGCTTCTTTAGAACACCTCCAATCAGGTTTTCCCCTAATAATTAGGGATTATAACTCCATTCACTGGAGTTGATCCTAAAGCCCATAACTGAGAACAGTTAAGTCTTGTGCTCCCTGGGAGCTAAATGTGGTTCTAACTGACTCATTGATGTGGCCAGTCTACCCCCTCACCTTCCTGGTTCTAATCTTTGTTTGATTCTGTGTGTCCACAGAATGGTGAGTGTAGTATGCACAAGGGAAGCTCAGGGTAATGCTCTCTAGAGGTTAATTAGGTAAGATGGGAAAGTGTTTCTTTGACTCACCATCTGATTGCGAATCTGCAGGGCGCCTGCTGCCAAACAGGCTGCCCGCCGAACTGCCATGAAATCATCAGAGAAGCAGCTCAGGAAGCTTGGGAGAAGCCTGACAGTCAGGACCTTGAGCCCACCAATCAGGGAGAGAGCTTCCACACGCTCCTGGAAATTTCCTTGACTCAGCTTGACTCTGGAAGGCATGAGTGCTTTTATTTTCCCACCTTAAACTTTGGCATTCCCACCACTAATGCCCTCAAAATAAAATCCAATGTCTGTAGGCTCTCCATTATCCATTCCCACCCTTTCCTAGTCAGCCTTATGCCCATGAGGTTAAGTTTCACTGGGGACAGACCTCAACTGTCTTACTTATTTCAACCCCTATTACTAGCATATGCTGGGTACAAAACGATGTTGAATGGTTCCATAAAGGAAACTTTCACGTACCTCTTGCTACATACAGTCAAGTTCTCTTCACTGTCCTCACATGTGCCACCCTCATTTTTGTATTTATATTCGGCTCCCAGCCTGGAATGTCTTTCCTTCTCTCTGCCTGTGTAGTCTAATCCATCCTCCGTGAAAGTTGACCTTACAAAGCATTTGTGTATCTTGCCTATATAATCAGAATCATGTCGTACTTTCGAACTCTGAAACATCCAAAACAGTGTCTAACACCTAATGGGCACTCTGATTCTTTCCTTAGCCACATTGTTAGTGTCTATAAGGGCTGGTAATGTTTTATTTTAAAAATAATCCTGCAGTGGGACCCCGTACAATGCTGAGCATACGAAGCAGCTCAACAGATGCTGGCTGGCTGGATCCCAGGCTTCCTGAACACTTAAGAGAAAAGTCTCACTGAGTTCATGTTAACTAGGTTTTACCTGATGGTATTGTACACCTCTTTCCCAAAGCTCATTCGCCCCAGAGCTTGGGCAGCTGCATGTCTTACTTCCTTATTCCAGTCACTCAGCATCATCTGGATCAACTTATGTTTCATATCCTATAAATAGGAGTAATAATTAGCTGCCATTTATTGAATGTCAGTTTTGTGCTTGGTACTGTTTTTTTTTTTTTTTTTAATTTTTATTTATTTATTTGACAGAGACACAGCGAGAGAGGGAACACAAGCAGGGGGAGGGGGAGAGGGAGAAGCAGGCTCCCCGCAGAGCAGGGAGCCCGATGCGGGACTCGATCCCAGGACCCTGGGATCATGACCTGAGCCGAAGGCAGTCGCTTAACCAACTGAGCCACCCAGGCGCCCCTGTGTGGTGTTTTTACCCATCACTTAATCCTCCCAAACAATCCAATGAAGCAGATTACCATTTACAGATGACAAAATGGAGGCTCAGGTTTACTTGCCCAAGATTAACCTGTTGGATGCTAGAGTCAGGACTCAAGACCCAGTCTGTTTTATAAGCTTATGCTTTAAACTGCTATACTATGGGGGCGCCTGGGTGGCTCAGTCGGTTAATCGGCTGCCTTCGGCTCAGGTCATGATCCCGGGGGCCTGGGATCGAGCCCCGCATCCGGCTCCCTGCTCCGCGGGGAGCCTGCTTCTCCCTCTCCCTCTGCCTGCCTCTCTGCCTACTTGTGCTCTCTATCTCTCTGTCAAATAAATAAATAAATCTTTAAAAAAAAAAAAAACAAAAAACTGCTGTACTATGTCAGGACCCACGTTACCTGTACTTGAGGGACTTAACATTTGATGGTTATACACTAATAAGGTGACCCATTCCAGTTTGCCTGGAACTTTTCTGGGATTAGTACTAAAACTCCTATGTCCTGGACAAACCAGGACAGTTGGCCACCCTATATATTAGTACTTCATTCAGAAGGGAAGAGACCAAGATTACTACAGTTGTAGTTCATCACTGTGTTAATGTGCTCAAGCTATTCTCCCTGCCTGAAACATCTCTTTTCCACCTCTACGTGGTGGAATGTTTCCCTACTCTTTTAGGATTTCTCTCAGAAAGCATCTCTGTGAACTCTCCTCTGCCCTCTGTAAGCATAGGAAATTCCCATAATGCTTTACAGCTGCCTCTGTTACAGCTATTTATAACATTTACCAAGAAAAGACAGTATTTTTGCATCCCTAATGCTGGCATAGTGCTGAGCATGTAGGATGTGGTCAGACACTGCTTACTGAATGAGTGAAGGACTGATGGACATGGTGCCTTTCATTCCAGCAACCTGACGTGAAGTTCTCATCTTTGCCAGGTCAGTCCCCTGTCTGCTCTGCATGTCTTTTTATTTTCAGTTGGCAATCCTGAGTGACAAGTGCTAAGGAGGTGAGTGTGCAAATGAATAAGATGTTGTTAAAATGCAGATTCTGACTGAGTGAGCCTGAGGTGAGATTCTGCCCTTCTCACAAGCTCCCAGGTGAAGACTTGGCTGGTGAGGACTTTAGAGGAGGGGTCCCTGGCAACTGGGGCAGAATTAACTCAATTAACTCAAGACTAAAACATCTTCAGATGATGATACTGAACGACCAGATTTTGTGCTTTCCGCTCAAAATGTGAGAGTCCAAGGGTGGAGGGTGTTAACTTCTCATGAGAATGGCAGTGTTCTGGGCCATTTTGGAGGTACTTAGTGTTATAAGGAGAAGATATAGTGGCACATAGGAAGAAGGGGAAGCCCCCATTTGGACAGCTGAAGATGATTTAAAAATAATGGCAAGAAGCAGGTCAAGTGAAAGCTCAAATGATGGTCAGGGTTTCCTCCACCTGGAAGTCCCTCTTCTGTTCTGTCCAAGTCTTGCCCAGCTGTTCCACACTCCTTCCCAGAACTCTGATAGGTTCAGCCTACACTAATGTCTCTCTCTGAAAAGTTATAAGAGCGTACTGTACATTTATCACTTGCCCTTGAATCATTTATGTACGTTAGTATTATTATTCCAACTATAATGTCAGTCTTTTTGAAGTAGGGACTGTGTTTTATACCTTCTCTATGTGCTGAACACTCAGAGCCAACATAGACACTAAGTATGGTTGGGTTGTTGGGTAGTTTAAGTCAGTGCTTCTCAAACTATCTGGTGGAGGACCAGCTTTGGCGGGGGTGGGGGTGGTGGTGAGGAATGTTATTGGCTGGTACTTATACAGTACATTCATGTTAAGGCAATGTCAGAGTACTATAAAAGTTTCTAAATTTTCCTAGGGTTTGTTTTTTGTTTTTGTTTTTTGCTTATTTCATCGTGAGTGGGTTACAACTGGTGAACTGCCACCATGCTAAGAAGCCAGGTGCCTTGAGTCAGAAAGACATGTTGGCATGTGAAGATAATTCTGGGTTAGGACTAAGGTAGCAAGGTAGAGACAAAGATCTGCTCAGTAAGAATGGGATATTAAATAGCAAAAAGTGGAAGGGCTTCCCAACCTCCTTTTGCTTAGACTTTCTGTCCTGGAAACACAGAAGGCTTACCAAACTGACATTCCCGCCGACCTGTGAGAGAACCCGGCAGGCTATGATCCGGTCCTTCCACTGGTAGCTGTTCAGCTCCACAGCAAGCATGGTGTGTATCAGGGTCTGAGGAATGGAAGACTTAGGTGGATATTCCGGATAACTTTCAGAGATGCTGGAGCCTGGAAGAAGTGTTAGAGCCTAACACGGCATTCAGCCTAATGAACGTCACAAGTACATGAGGTGCCCATCCCTGGCCAAGGAAAGAGTGGGTTTACAAGATACGGGGCACTCTTCGATCTGAGCCAACTGACTTTGGAATCCTAAATCAGGGAACAAATACACATTTAGTAACCTGAACAGAAAATTCCCGGGGCCTTCTCTTTATCTTTACTCCTAAGATGATTTGTATATGCCTCAATCTTTGTGAGTTTCACATTTCTACTGAGAGTAAACACACTTGTAGGTCTGTACAGTTTTCAATGGTAACTTTTGGCAGAAGCAAATTCTACATATCACAACTCTTCTTGCCTACACAGAAACCATCTGCAGCCTACTTTTCTCACCTTTGTCTCAGGTGGCTGGTGTCCCTTTTACCTGTACACATACCTCTCTACCCCAGGTCACCCACACATTTAGTCCAGTCTTTTAACTATACTTATAATCTTACTCAGCCACCTGCATTTTCGATTCCTTACATGAACTGACCTCAGACTCAAATGTTCCCCATAACTTGGTTTCTTTCTCTGACCCTGTAATGAACACATACTGTCTTCTCACTGAGATGGCTCAGGAGCATACAAGACTGGTACTCAGTGTCGTCATTCTTCTTACTGAACAGCTGCTGGAGGATCCTCTTAATCACGGGGTATGTGGCAGCACCTTCCAGAGCCAAGCACTGAGCTGCAGCCCAGCTGTCCACGCTATTACCTATCGGGTGGGGTGAAAAAAATAGCTATCTGTTCTCCCCGCAGAGAGAACAGCCTCAGGGTTGGTACCCAAGGCTGTTACCTGCCTGGTATCTTACTCCCCTGTGCCCCGCTCAGTATAGAAGTCAAAGCCTGTATTTAAATGGATCATATCAAGGTTTTAAATATAGACTGAAAATCTTAACCTGAGAAGTCAAATCCTAAAAGGCTCTTTTTTTTTTTTTTTTTAAAGATTTTATTTATTTATTTGACAGAGACACAGCAAGAGAGGGAACACAAGCAGGGGGAGTGGGAGAGGGAGAAGCAGGCTTCCCGCCAAGCAGGGAGCCCAATGTGGGGCTTGATCCTAGGACCCTGGCATCATGACCTGAGCTGAAGGCAGACGCTTAACGACTGAGCCACCCAGGTGCCCCAAATCCTAAAAGGCTCTTGTTGGTTAACAGCAGTAGGCCCTTATGTCCTGGGTGAGAGAGAGAGTTGTTCCTTCCCCTAGAGACTGGGAAGCCTGGAGTGGAGACTCCCTCTCTCTCTCTCTCTCTCTCTTTTTTTTTTTTTTTTTAAGATTTTATTTATTTGAGAGAGAGAAGTCAAGAGAGAGTGCAAGCAGTGCGGGGGGGCAGAGGGAGAAGCAGACTCCCTGAGCAGGGAGCCCAATGTGGAGTTTGATTCAGGACCTGATCTCAGGACCCTGGGATCATGACCTAACCTGAAGGCAGAGGCTTAACTGACTGAGCCACCCAGGTGCCCCTGGAGTGGAGACTTTCTTAAGACAAATGGATTAAGTTGTTGAGGGTCTATATGCAGAAGGTCAAACCAGTCAGCCAGCTGTCCTTGTCTGCCCATCTCCCCAGTGCCCCCAGGACAGGAAGGAACAGGCACTCTTTCAGAGAGCAGTCAGGCACGTTGGGCACCTGACAGCTGTCTTGCTTGTATTACTCCAACAGTGTGTGTGGATGATATCGGTGAGTTAATGTGCAAAGATGGAAGCACAATGTGTTCAAGTGGTGATTTAAGTTTCAGAAAGTATACTTTAATATTGTTATGTCATCTTTTTAAATTAAAAGTAAATCTGTGCATGGGGCACCTGGCTGGCTCAGTGAGAAGAGCATGATCTCGGGGTTGTGATTCTGAGCCCCATGCTGGGTGTAGAGATTACATACATACATATATAAGTAAACAAACTTTTTTTTTTTTTTAAGTAAATTTGTGAGACATCTGGGTGGCTCAGCTGGTCAGGCATCCAACTCTTGATTTCTGCTCAGGTCATGATCTCAGGGTTGTGAGATCAAGCCCCACGTCGGGCTCGGCTCTGGGTGTGGAGTGTGTGTAAGATTCTCCCTCTCCCCCCATCCACTGCCCCCTCCCCCACCTCGCTTTCACATGCTCGCTCGCTCTCTCAAATGAATTTGTGTGAACGGGGAGCATGGTGTCTAGGCAGATGCAGCTGTGAAACACTTAGCCACCCAAGTACCACTAGGTGGAAGTGTACCTATTTTATAAAAGTGCCTAGGAACCACTATCTCTGGGTGTTCATGAATGTAAACCCAAATCCCCCAATACAGTAGACCTCACAAATATGATATTGGAGAAGAAAGGATTAGGAAAAGCTGATAGTGAGGTATCCTGTCTCTACCGCATATTCCCAGGTCACAAGTGACCGGGAGTTACTCACCCTTCATAAGGACACTGTGCATGATGTCCCGGGCGAGGGGATTATGCGACTGTATGACGTACTGGCATAGTGCTGCTGCGATCCGCACATTGGCACTTTTGTCACAAAGAGCAGCCTCCAGAGCGGTCTGTAGAACCTCTGGCAAGTCCTGGACAGATGGGGCTTTCCCAGTCTCCTTGTCTGTGATCAAAAGAGAACCAGGTAAGAGGGTGCTAGCCCCTTTGATTTCCACCAACAGTTTCTTTCCCATAGCCACATAGTGGTTGACCTCAGTCTCAGTTGCTGGTGCTTACTGCTAGTTAATAGAATTAGAGTTATCTGAGCTCCTGCAATGGGCAGGCTTCTATGGCCCACTTCTGTGCTGGGTATGCCTGTTCCCAATCCTTGATCACCCGGCCTCTAAAGAGCTGGATTCAAGCCACAGAAGGTTTCCAGCTAGACTATGGCGACCTTCACCATTAGTTTTACTGATGAAAATCAATGTCTTTATCATATGTATTTTTGTATTTTTTTTTTTTAAGATTTTATATATCTGACAGAGAGAAAGAGCACAGGCAGGGGGAGCAGCAGGGGCAGAGGGAGAGGGAGAAGCAGGCTTCCCGCTCAGCAGGGAGCCCACTGCGGGGCTCGATCCCAGGACCCCAGGATCATGACCCGAACCGAAGGCAGACACTTAACCAAGTGAGCCACCCAGGCACCCCTATATTTTTGTATTTTTAATAATAATAGCAATTATACTTAGAAGGTGCTTTGCCGTTTATAGTGTTTTTGTAGTCATCTCATTCAGTATGGCAGCCCTCACGGAAGTAGGCAAGGCAGGTATTAACTGCAGAGCTCACCTGAAATATGTCATTTCAGGAGTCTTTTTAGATTGGAGCAGTCAGACTCACAAGCCTCACAGACCACACAAAGCACCAATCTTCGAAGGATCTAGGATGGGAGCACGGTTTGCCGACAGGGCAGCACCAGGCATTCCTTCTGGCCAGAGTTCTCCAGGCACTTCGGACAGTGTCCACAGAGTCTTCTGGGGACATGTGCTATGTTCCACAGGAGTGAGTATGTCTTATAACAAGTCCATAGATCTAGTCCCAGGCCCACAAAGGGCCTGCCTATTAGAAGTCACGGCACTCGTGGAAGCCCAAGGGATGGCACCTCCTTAAGGCATTTCTATCTCACTTGCAGTTTTCCCAGTCCAGATGTGATTTGTCAGAGTTCATGTTTACCATAAGTAATGTTGCCTATAAAGATCAGGGCAACAGGTAGGCATTTTAACTAAAGCCCAGATTCTCAAGTAGAAGGGGAAAAGTCCTGTTAAAAAGGGCCTTCTGTCCACAATTATCCTCATTTTAGAGATAAGGAATTTGAAGCTCAGATAGGCTGACTTCCCAGGAAGTGGCAGAGCTGGATCTGTGACTAAGATTTTAGGATTTCTAATTTGTCTGTCTTATTATCACTGCAGGCTGCTATGCCATTTGTTAAGAATAGGCTAGATGGGGGGCGCCTGGATGGCTCAGTCATTGAGCATCTGCCTTCAGCTCAGGTCATGATCCCAGGGTCCTGGGATTGAGCCCCGCATCAGGCTCCCTGCTCAGCGGGAAGCCTGCTTCTCCCTCTCCCACCCACCCTGCTTGTGTTCCCTCTCTTGCTGTGTCTCTCTCTGTCAAATAAATAAATAAAATCTTAAAAAAAAAAAAGAATAGGCTAGATGGGAATAGGTATATTTTACAGGAATACGTAGAAGTCAAATGAGAATTTGAAGAAAGTAATGAGTAAGATAGTTTTCTTTGGGAAGGTATGGGGAAGAAAGAAGACAAAGACAGGTTAAAATCTAGATACCTAGGACATGTGAAAGGGATCACATGAAGGCATAATTCTGGGGGCAGACAAAAGTGTTCTTTGTGGAAGATTTGGGGATAAGAATAATATCTGTGGCTGCCTATTGAAGGTTTTCTCTGTGCCAGGCACTGCAAATATATCATCCATTTAATACCCAAGGAAACAAGCAGTTATAATAAAAAAAAAACGTATATGTGTGTGGGGGGCCACCTGCCTGGCTCAGTTGGAAGAGCATGTAACTCTTGATTTCGGGGTCGTGAGTTCAAGCCCATGTTGGATGTAGAGCTTATATTAAAAAAAAAAAAAAAGTATATGTGTGGAAGCATATAGTAGGGACAATGACCCAAGTCTGGGTGGTAGGGCAGGGAAAACTCCTCAGAGGAGGTGATAGCTGAAAATTAAAGGACAAATATAGACGTTAATCAGGTAAAGAGAAATGAAGAGTTTTCTGGCAGATGGGGCAGCAAATTTGAAAACTTGTAGCAAAAATGCCCATATCTAGAACTCAGCTAGGAAATATGTGAAACTTTAAAAACATGACACTTTTGTAGAAGTAAAATTAGTCCCCGCCATTAAGGAGTTCCTTGTCTGGTAGGAATGGCAGAAAAGTGAATGGACAGTTACGACAGAGTGATACGTATTAGGACAGAATATTATTAGGATGCTACCAGCAGCAGAGAGGAAGAAGCATTAGCGCAGGCTTCACATAAAAGGTATCTGAGGGCATCTGAGAAATAAGTAAGCCAGTTGGTTTTGTGTCCTTCCAGTAGCACTTGATAGTTTCTATCATTTGGGTCCTGTGTCTTGTTAAACTGGCTCCTCAGATTACAATTCTGGCTATTGTAGATGGGAAATTTTCCTTTTTAACTACTTATTGCTAGTAAAGCAAAAAGCTATTGACATTTCTTTTCCAAAAGATTTAAGACCATCGGAAAGAATGGCTCAGTCCTTAATTCATTTTATAAAGCTAGCAAAAACTAAAACTTAACAAAAATAAACTCATTTCACTTATAAATGTAGTAAAACATTCTAAAATATCAACAAATCAAACCCAGTGGAGTAAAAAAAGAATAATATATCATGGATCTGTTAGATTCTAAGAATTTAACAACAGAATTCATCATATCCACAAATTAAAGGAGAGAAAATAGAAAATGGATAGTAAAATTCAACACTCATTTTTATAATAAATAGAAAAGCCTACATGTATGTTGGCATATTATTTCCAAAAGCATCGAGAAAGACGTGAAATGCCAAACTGAACATTGGTTACCCTGGGGAGTGGCATGGGGTGGGACTGGGACTGGGAATTTGGGGGGAAGGGAATGACCTCTTGTATTTCACTGTTGACTGGTGAATACACAAAGAGGGAAGCAGAATCAGTAGAATCTGTTGGTCGTTTGGTTATGGGAAGAGGAAGGGTTTGTCCAGGATGACTCCCAGGGCCCTGGCTCAGAAACTAGATGGATTGTGGTGCTGCTGATTGAGGTTTGGAACTTGGGGAGGGGTCCATGGTGAGGGTGATTAGTTCAGTTTGGGTTTCAGATGTGCTGTCAAAAGAAGGGCTAAAATAGAGTTAGGAGGGCGCCTGGGTGGCTCGGTCGTTAAGTGTCTGCCTTCAGCTCAGGTCATGATCCCAGAGTCCTGGGATTAAGCCCAGCATCAGGCTCCCTGCTCAGCGGGAAGCCTGCTTCTCCCTCTCCCACTGCCTCTGCTTGTGTTCCCTCTCTCGCTGTGTCTCTCTCTGTCAAATAAATAAATAAAATCTTTTAAAAATAAATAAATAAAATAGAGTTAGGAAGGGAAAGTGTGTGTATATACATATACAATGTATATGCATATACACACAAACTATATATAATTTTGGGCTATTACAAATGGGATCTCTCAGGGTGGAACAATGTGAACTTCCTTGAAGCTGCTGAGCAAACAAAATGTGATGAAATGTGTGCCAAAAGCACTGGACCAGAAGTCAGGAATTTTATCTCTTGCTGAGAAGCTGTATATATTCAGGCCAGTCTCTGGGCCTTGGTTTCGTTTGTAAAATGATCTCAGATAAGCTCGAAGGTCCACACCAGTTATCACTGTCTATGGCTGTGTGAGTTGCTTATATTCTCAAGTAGTTAAGTTCTGGCTCTCACCTGAGTCCCCCTGGCTGGTGGCAATCCGGGGCCGTTCCAAAGCAGCCGTGGCACATGTAATGATGGCTTGGATCCGAATGTCATCATGCACATCCACCAAGCCCTGCAGCAGGCCCTCTATTGTTTCATGGTGCCACTCAATGACTATGCCACAGGGAGGGAAATGAAAAGAAAACCATCTGGTGAGGGTTAGATAGAAAGGCTCTCCGCTAGTGACAACCTGGTGAGGTAACCAGATTTGTATGTTTTTACAAGAGAGGGATGGCTTTTCATAGATTGAGAAACACGAGTCCAAGGTAAGAACCTCCTCCCTCTCATGTTTACTGGTATCTCTGGACCCACCCCTGCCCCTTCACTCACTCAGAGCCCAGGCAGTCTTCCATTCCTGCAGCATCCTCTGCAGGACCACCAGTTCCCAAGCCACATCCTCCTTTGGTGATTCCTTCTGCTTCTTCTGTCTCCTGGTCTTAATGGCAACATCCTCCTCACCCACCTGGAGCAGCAGATCTCTGACTGGAGTGGGCAAAGCCGTCCAGCGCGGAGCTCCTTTCATAGGCCTGTAGGCTATGCAGTGTGAGATAGGCTTACCCCCCTGCCCTAGGCCCTGGGTTCCCAGCTACCATTACATCCTGCTCCTGACCAACACCAAGGCAAAACAAAACTCTTGAGAACAAACTTTCCCATGGTTATACAGGGAACTAAGTACAACCCATAGGGAGTTAGGAAAAGTCCTGATGACAGACATGATAAAGCCATGATGGGGGAGACTGAGATATATATAAGCCTTTTTATACATTTAATATATATATATATGATGTGTATATATATATGTAATGTATATATATTAACATATATATATAATCTGTATACATAATATAACAATATAATAAAATTTGTTTATATGTAATAAGGTTTTGCTCAAAATTCAGTATCTGATATATTGCAATTTAGAGTGTAATTGTCCATTCCTAGTTTATTAGGTTTTCTTTCTTTTTTTTTTTTTAAAGATTTTATTTATTTATTTAACAGAGATACAGCGAGAGAGGGAACACAAGCAGGAGGAGTGGGAGAGGGAGAAGCAGGCTTCCCGAGGAGCAGGGAGCCCGATGTGGGGCTTGATCCCAGCACTCTGGGATCATGACCTGAGCCGAAGGCAGACACCCAATGACAAGCCACCCAGGCACCCCTTCTTTTTTTTTTTAAGTTTGTTTATTTATTGGGGTGCCAGTTAAGCGTCTGACTCTTGATTTTGGCTCAGGTCATGATCTCAGTGTCCTGGGGTCGAGCCCCTTGTGGGGCCCCGCGCTCAGCAGGGAGTCGCTTGAGGATTCTCTCTCTCTCTCTGCCCCTACCCCTGCTTGGGCACGCATGCATGCTCTCTCTCTCTCTCAAATCTTTTTTTTTTTTTTTTTAAGTTTATTTGTAAGTGATCTCTACAGCCAACACGGGGTTCGAACTCATGACACCAAGATCAAGAGTCGCATGTTCTGACTGAGCCAGCCAGGTGCTGACTTTTTTATGTTTCTTTTTAATGTTTTTAATTTGGGAAGAGGAATGCTGCTACAACCTGCTAAGTTTGAAAGATTTTAGCATCTCTGAGTTTTTCCTCATTATGACAACAGCTGGAAATTTGAGGACAGAATGTATTATAAAAATACAATTATAGTTGTTATGTTTTCTAGACTTCGTGATCTCCCTGGTGTCAGATTCAGAAAGCCTCTTCCTAAGAAGAGCAGTTGTGTGGAGAACGCAAAAAATATAAAAACATTTCCAGATTACCAAGTTCATGATCTGTGGCATTGCTTATCAGCCTCATGCTCTAATCTGTCACTACCAAAGGTTTGTGTCTCTTCCAAGATTTCATTCTGACTAACATGTTTAGATTTGTTCTAAATCCGTTCTTTCCTTTGAACAAGAAAGGCAATGCCATTTCTTTCTTCTAATGTAAAAAGAGTCTTTGAGACCCCAAGGCAGTTTAGCTCAGATGCTATACAGAGCATACCCTCCAATGGTTCTCCCCCAGCTTGGTCACGCTGGGGGAACTCCGTCACCCTGTTGAGGGCTGGCTTCCTTTGCAGTATAGAGTATGCAGCCAGAGAGATAGAACCACCTCCAGACAGGTCAGCTCCCAGTGAGTCGATACTATGATAACTCCCCCATTTCTCTCCTCTCAGCCTGCTTGAAATCCCTCCCACGGAAGTGAGTAGTGGCCGGATTAGTCTAGTCCCTTTCCTCCTATATCCCCCTGCTCAGGGAGTTAAAAAGGATGTGAGAAAGCCTTGAATCCCTGGTATTTAACCTGTGTGGGAATAAACATGCACAACTGCCAATATTAATTTTACTTCCAGTCCTTTGAGTTCTAGGCAGGTATAAATACATCCACTAGCCACATTCCACATCAAAAGTCCTCTGACACGAGCACACAGACAACCCTTTGGCTTTCTATGGGATAAAAGGCGCAGTATACTTTGTTGGCAGAAACAAATGGTGCCTTTCACTTTGTACCATAAGACCTGTGCTTACTATAGAAGAACTGTAATGATCTGGGTATACTAGAGAGTTTTATATTACAACTTGGGGGAAATTAAGGCTATTGTATCTTGAGAATGTTCATCATTTTAAAGAAATTATCATCTAAGGTTTTCAATTCAATCAAAATGGAGAGTAAAAAAAATCTACCCACGCCTCCTAACTCCAGGAATTTTTTTTTTTCTTTTTTAGGTTCTTTCATTACCTAGTATTTCCTGAATGAGACGATGAATGAAATAGTTATAAGAAGGTGTGTCTATGTTACTCTTCTGACTTTACTTCTCCCAGATCAATTTCAAATATTTTTTTAAAGATTATTTGAGAGAGACAAAGAGCATGAGCAGGGGGGAGGAGCAGGAGAGGGAAAAGCAGACTCCCCACTGAGCAGGGAGCCCGACAGGGGGCTTGATCCTAGGACCCCGAGATCAGACCTGAGCTGAAGTGAGGCACTCAACTGACTGAGCCACCCAAGGTGCCCCTATTTATTAATTTTTTTAAGTAGGCTCCACACCCAACATGGGGCTTGAACTCCCGACCCTGAGATTAAGAATCGCATACTCCCACCAACTGAGCCAGCCAGGCCCCCTCAATTTCAAATACTATTTTAAAAAAGAAGTTTGGGAAAGATTCTACAGCTTCTTTGTTCATTAGATGTTCTATGTTCTGGGGAAAAGAGGGCAGACATCTAGCACAGTCGGGGAAAAGTGTCTGTGAAGCCAGTGAGACAGGTGGTGAGACATCTGAATCCAGCAGGGGGATTTGTGTTTTATAAGAGCTGTGAGGCAGAATTCACATACTATAAAATTCATCCTTTTAAAATGTACCCAATTCAGTGGTTTTTAGTATATTCAGAGTTGTACAACTATCACAATGGATATTTTTATCACCCCAAAAAGAAACCCTCTGCCGATTCCTCCCTTCCCCTATCAACTGCTGGTCAACTGTCTGTCTTTGTGGTTTTGCCTATTCTCAGAGGGGAGGGCGTACACAATACAGTTGCCTTGTGGGGAGAGTAGTATACTAATAATAATTCCTTGAGTTTGAGCACTTAATAGTTTATAAAATGCATTCACAAAGTCACCTAAGTATCAATAAATATCACAAAATGAGTAAGTATTTCCAAAGTGCCTTCCTGTAGGAATGATTAGTGTCTCAGCTCTAATGAAGCCAGTGAAGCCTTAGAAGGGGACTTGCCTAGACCCAATCCTAGGCTTTGCTGGGGTGCTTTCTCCGCTAGTACCATTAGTTTCTGCACACGAGGGGGCTCACCAGAACAGTGGTCCTGCAAAGAAAAGTCAGGGGACATGCATAGTCTCTTGGAGGATGGGCACTTTTTGTTTCATAAGCTCATTTCTTGGCCAACTCCCTTCCTCTCTCTCTCACAGAATTAAGAAAGACATGCTTATGAAACAGAAATATAGAACAGAGGATGACCCTAGTACTTGAGACAGATATGGGCCTGAGAATGGAATGGGAAGGTAGAACCAGCCCAAAGGGACAAGGTAGAGTGCTGGATCGAGGGTTTGATGTAACTTCCTCTGGGAAGAAGATGGGTCCTGCCTCATTGGTAATTTCCGGCCCTAAATCTCTTGGTTACACCTAAGTTTGATCTGATTTCAACTGAATGGATGTTCCACAAAGGCTCTTTCTAGTTACAGTTAGTGTTTTATAATTTTATGAGATAATTTTTAGTTAGTAGGAAGGGACTCCCCTACATACTGGTGATGCCCAGCCTATAAAACAGGGTCCTTAAAGAAACAGCCCCATTTCTGGGGCACCTGGGCGGCTCAGTCAGTTAAGTGTCTGACTCTTGATTTCCGCTCAGATCATGATCTTAGGGTCGTGAGATTGAGCCCCGCTTGGGGCTCTGTGCTCAGCAGGGAGTCTGCTTGAGATCCTCTCCCTCTGCCCCTTCCCCTGGCTTGTGCACACGCTCATGCTTGTGCTCTCTCTCTCTCAAATAAATCTTAAAAAAAAAAAAATAGCGCACTTCCATCATCACCCCTATTACCCACTTCCTGCTTACGTGCTTCAGGAACTGGCTGGGAAGTCCACCTTTCTGGGGTTTCGGGGAAGACTTTAGACAGCTGCTTCTTGTAGCAATTGAGGTTTTCCAGGAAAATGTGGTCTGTCTTCGCACCAATCTGGTGTATGATCTGGACTTGATCTGTGAACACATAAAAGAAATAAGGAGTCCCTAGTACCACCCTCCTTCCTCTCTTGCTGGGTTTTCAGTCACCAGGATCACACCCAATTTCCTTCTGCCTTACTCTTCAGCCCCAAAGACTCATGATTACCATGATGTGGGGGCATCCTTTGAAGGTGACTGTTGCTTGGAAATAGGAGCTAGTAGTCTCATAGAGGCTTGGAAGCCAAGGCGGAACCTACCTTAACTTACAGGCATTGTCCCCTATGAAAAGCTAAGTCCCAATAAAGGGGTATCTAATTCATTGCTTATCAGTCATAAATAACTTCATCTGAATAATTCCATTAAAACACTTTAAGACTTTCAGTTGACAGTTTAGGAACAAGATGGGGGCAAGGAAGAATAAACAGCTTGGAACATACAGACCTAGATCATGTATCTTGGAAGCCCAGGCATTGAAAGGATAGCAAGATGGAAGGGGAAGGTAATGGACATTATTGAGCATTGAGCAAGAAGCATTATAAATGCTTTCCTGTCTATTCTTTACTTAAAGTGTTTTTTTTTTTTTTAAGATTTTATTTATATATTAGAGAGAGAGAGAGATAGTGAGAGACAGCACGAGCAAGGAGAGGGAGAAGTAGGGTTCCTGCGAGCAGGGAGCCTGATATGGGGCTCGATCTCAGGACCCTGAGATCATGACCTGAGCCAAAGGCAAACGCTTAACTGACTGAGCCACCCAGGCTTTAAGTGCATTTTTGTTACTGTCATTTTACAAATAAGGCTCAGAGGGATGATATAATTTGCTAAAGTTAGTAGGGAAGGGCTAAACCAGGATCCTCCAGACTTCAAAGCCTGTGATTTTTTTCTAACATAGCAGCTCAATGGGGGATTATCTCCAAGGGAGAGAAAGGAGAAGAGCAGAGAAGAGGTATTTGTTCTCCAAGCCAAACCTTGTTTGCTTTACAACCCCACACTCCACAACCTTCTTAGTAAGATAAAGGGATAGAGCAAGGAATGGGGTGACAGATTCCTCCCCACCAGATACCTGCCTGCCCCTTGCCAAGACAACCCTCCTGTGCTAGTCACAAGGGGATGTTGGTCTTCGAGGGCCTCTTATCCACATCCATGACTATTTCATTCCCCAGCTGCCTTCCACCTCCCTGCTCCATGCCCACCTCAGCCCCCAGCACAGCACCCCAGCTCTATTACCAAAGTATATCTCCTGTTCAAAGGTGTTGTCTGTGGAGTAAGCAAACTTTCCAGCTCGACGATTCACCTGCCGGAAGTGGCTCTGCTTCGGGGGCTGGCAGATGTTCTTCTTTCCTTTGATATCCTCAGCAGTCTCATTGTTGCCAGGCATAGCTTCAGCTCTCTGCACTTGTGGCAAGTAATTGGGTAATCTTAGCAGGAGGAGAGGGAGGAAAGGGAAAGATAGGAGATGGACCTCCTGCCTTCCATCAGACCCATAGCTCACTCCTCTTTAAGCTCACCTTACATACACATGAGCATCTGGAAAACACCTATGTTTAACTATTGGCCTTGTCCCAAAGTGCCAAATGAATATTCAGGCCCGCCAGAAGGGCCTGTCTGCAGCCACCTTCCTCCTCCTCCAGTGGAGCCACTGGGCAGCATGGTAGAGTGGCCAGGCTCCCAGCAGTACCTTTTTTATCATGGTGCCCTTAGAGGTTACATGGACTTGGGGAAGGAAACCAATTCCTACATTACTTCACTTTATCGTGTGTGTGGCTATTTAAAGACTGTCAACCCCAGTGAACAGATCATAAGCTCCTTAAAGGGTCTCTCGTTTACGTTGTATTCCCAGCACTTTGCAGAGTACCTGGCAAGGAGTAGGAAGGCAGTTTATGTTTGTCCAATAAATGAACAAATAGATGGATTCCCACTTTACTTTTAGTTCACTTTTGGGAATCAGATATTGTAATAGCTCTGGTCTTCCCTCGAGCTATAAGTGAGAAGAAGGCAATCTGAGAAATATGCAGTAATCAACCCTCAGGTTGTTTAGTTCTCTGTCTAGTTGCCAGTCAGTTTTTGCATCAGTGACACAGTGGCTCCTTATTCAAAGTGAGACAGAACCAAACCTCAGAGCCTTGAGATCTCTGCCTTCTCTCTCTCAATATGGATACATTTCTGAGAGCACCTAGACAGCAAAATAGCTCAGTCTGCTAGGAAAGGCCAGGAGCCAATCCCTTTAAAGGCAATGGTTCTCAACTAGGAGTGATTGGGGTCCCTTAAGGGGACATGTGTCAATGTCTGGAGACATCTTTGGTTGTCCCAACTGGAAAATGCTTCTGGCATCCAGTGGGGTGCTACTAAACATCCTACAAGGCACAAGACAGCCCCCCACAACAAAGAATTGTCCAACCCAGGATGTCAGTAGTACCTGGTTGAGCACCTTACTTTAAGGAGATTGTAGAGAACAAGTTGACAGTGGAGAACACAAGAGGTTGGTGGGACAGCATGTTCTGAAATAAGGAATGTGAACCAACCCCGGAGTCCTGGAAGGGGACCCACGGGTTCTCAAAGGTGTGCCTGAGGCCCCAGCCAACATACCTATAATAAACAGGGAGCAGCAGCTCCGGCTTCTCTCTCTCCTGGGTGGGCAAGATAACGCTTTCATCCTCAAATTCTGCTGTTTCTTCTTTCTCTAGCTGTTTCAGTAGCTCCAGATCGCTAGTGGAAGTAAGCTCATCCCGGATGTGGCTCCAGTCGTATTGCTGGCGAAGAAATCTCTGCCACTTGTTGGGGGATACCCCAGGCCTCAGAGGACGTTTGCTCTGGATCCATCGGGTGGTGCGCTTGTTCAGCTTTTCCAGCACGATGGCTTCCCAGGCTCTGGCCTCCTTCTCAGGGGGTGGCAGCCAGGCTTCCCTCTCCTCCAGGTTCATGTCTGGAGAAAGTGACAGACCTGGCATGTCTGGATCCCTGCAGGAATGAGGGATGAGAGGGCAAGATTCTTCCTGGCCCACACTTGCCGGCTTGGATTCCTTTGGCCGCTTCTTAAGATTGGCAGACCTTTCTGTCTTCACAGCCTGGGAGGTGACCCTTGCTGAGGGACCTGAAGAATGCAAGGACTTGAGGCCAGTGGGTTTCTCGCATCGGGCCCTGCTGATCTGGGGAGGCTGGATGATGTGGCCTGCCTTGTAGAGATGGTCAAAGTTATACTGGCTGTAAGGGGTGCTGGGAAGCCCTCGCTGCCATACCACCTCCTGAGAGAAGGTGAGGTTTGTAGCGGCCATTTTCAAATACTGGTTCTTCAGGTGTGCACAGCGATGTGGGCTAAAGTGGAAGACTGGAGGTACACTGGACACCGAGGCACACTCCTCGTGTTCTGGTTTTGAGTGGGAAAAATTCATGCCCCATCCCAGCCGTGGGGGGAGTGACTGATGGAAATGGTGGGAAAGAAGTGTCTTTCCCTGTTGGGTTCTGGTCATTGTTTCCCAGCAAAAGCTTCCTTCCACACTGCCTGGTCCAGATGCAGGGCTGGAGGTATGACCAGATACCTGTTGAGGGGATGGGAGGAACTGCTGAGAGCTCTAGGTCAGTAGAAATCGGTAGCCCATAGCAGTCCAGAAAGGAAATAAATGGGAAGACGGGGGAGCGGGGGGAAGCCACGTGAGTTAAAAGGACAAAAGAGGGGCGCCTGGGTGGCTCAGTCAGTTAAGCGTCTGCCTTCAGCTCAGGTCACGGTCCCAGGGTCCTGGGATCAAGCCCCGTATCGGGCTCCCTGCTCGGCAGGAGGCCTGCTTCTCCCTCTCCCACTCCCCGGCTTGTGTTCCCTCTCTCGCTGTGCCTCTCTCTCTAATAAATAAATAAAATCTTCAAAAAAAAAAAAAGGACAAAAGAAAGAAATGGTGCGATATTCTAAATATTCCTTGTATCAGCCCCTTGCTTCCAATGTTCCCATTTGTCCCCAAAGCTCAGCCCCTCCTCTCCTTATGAGGGATTAGATTACTGCTTTTCAGCAGTATCCATGCTTCTAATTTTTCCTCATATATTGCTTTCTGTGTATTTAAAGGGCTTATAGCATAAAGTTCAGACAACTCAGCCTGGCATTCAGGGTTCTTCATGAGTGTGACCCCGGTTTATGACCTTCTCTGGCTATAACCTCTCAAGTCTCTTAACTCCTCTCTGCATATTCCTCCCTCTACACAGTGGAGCTTCCTTCTGTGCCCTCATCTGCAGTAGCCTTTCCTCCATATTTGACAAATTCTATCCATTCCTCCAGGCCTAGGTCAGTTCCTACCCACTCCAGAACTCTTTCTTGACCTATCCAGGCCTCCATATCCCACACTAATTTATAAATCACTCCTAGTCTGTACCAGTTTTTTTTTTTTTAATTCCAGTATAGTTAACATACAGTGTTAAATTAGTTTCAGGGGTACAATCATGATTGCGTACCAGTACTTTCAACTCTCAATCCTATGACACCTCACACTGTTAATTATTTGGCTAACTATATTGCCCAAGGACCATGTCTTCTGTCTCTGCTGTCCTTCAAAATCACCCAGTATTGCTACATTGCTTTCCATATTGCTACATGGTCTTCATTGTTAAAATGTTTAACAGCTACAGAATATTTTACCAAGTAGGTAAATCACCTTTTCCTTAATTATTGGGCAAGCTGTTTTCAGGTTTTAGCTAGCATGGAAAACACTGTAGAGGGCGCCTGGGTGGCTCAGTCGTTAAGCGTCTGCCTTTGGCTCAGGTCATGATCCCAGGGTCCTGGAATCGAGTCCCACATCGGGCTCTCTGCTCAGGGGAGAGCCTGCTTCTCCCTCTCCCACTCCCCCTGCTTGTGTTCCCTCTCTCACTGTCTCTCTGTCAAATAAATAAAAAAATCTTTAAAAAAAAAAGAAAAGAAAACACTGTAGAGAACAAATGCCTACATTTAGTACTTTTTTTTTAAGATTTTATTTATTTAATTGACACAGAGAGAGACAGCGAGAGAGGGAACACAAGCAGGGGGAGTGGGAGAGGGAGAAGCAGGCTCCCCACTGAGCAGGGAGCCCGATGCAGAAAGGGCTCGATCCCAGGACCCTGGGACCATGACCTGAGCCGGAGGCAGACGCTTAACCAACTGAGCCACCCAGGCGCCCCGGTTTATTTTATTTTAAAGAGACAGTGTGTGCGCGCAAGCAGGGGGAGGCGTAGAGGGAGACGGGGAAAGGGAGAGAGAATCTCCAGCAGACTCCCCTCCGAGTGCGGAGCCTGACATAAGGCTCTGTCCCAAGATCCTGAGATCATGACCTGGGCTGAAACCGAGAGTCAGATGCTTAACCGACTGAGCCACCCAGCGCCCCTACATTTAGTGCTTTTAAAAATAATTTTCCTTCTGGGGTGCCTGGGTGTCTCAGTCGTTAAGCGTCTGCCTTCGGCTCGGGTCATGATCCCAGGGTCCTGGGATCGAGCCCCGCATCGGGCTCCCTGCTCAGCGGGAAGCCTGCTTCTGCCTCTCCCACTCCCCCTGCTTGTGTTCCTGCTCTGTGTCTCTCTCTGTCAAATAAATAAATAAAATCTTTAAAAAAAAAAAAAATAATAATTTTCCTTCTGAAGTCCTTCCTTGGTCTAATAATGATAATTGACAATTAGGAAGTACAAACATACCATAAGAGATATTATGGGTTTGGTTCCAGACCACTGCAATAAAATGAATATCATAATGAAGTGAGTCAAATGAATTTTTTGGTTTCCCAGTGCATGTATAAGTTTGGTTTACACTATACTGTAGTTGACAGAATGTGTGATAGCATTATGTCTAAGAACCAACGTACATCCCTTAATGAAAAAATATTGCTAAAAACTGCTAACCATCGGGCGCCTGGGGGCTCAGTTGGTTAAGCGACTGCCTTCGGCTCAGGTCATGATCCTGGAGTCCCGGGATCGAGTCCCATATCGGGCTCCTTGCTCAGCAGGGAGTCTGCTTCTCCCTCTGACCCTCCTCCCTCTCATGTGCTCTCTCTCTCTCAAATAAATAAATAAAATCTTAAAAAAAAAAATGCTAACCATCATCTGAGCTTTCAGCGAGTTGTGATCGGAGATCACCATGACAAATACAGTGATAATGAGACAGTCTGAACGATTGCAAGAATTACCAAAATGTGACACAGAGACACAAAGTGAGCAAATGCTGTTGGGAACATGGCACCAGTAGACTTGCTTGACAGGGTTGCCACAAACCTTCAATCTGTCAAAAACGGGAGTATCTGTGAAGTGCAATAAAGTGAGGCCCAATAAAATGAGGTATGCCTGCACTTGGTCAAGGGCTTTACATAGGGAAGATACTATAATGTGTATGGGCAGAAGCGGAGGCTCCAGGGGGTAAATGAATTGCTTCAGGTCATACAGGCCATAAGTAGAAGAGCCAGGTTTTAAACCTCGCTGCCAGACTGCAACTCCAGAGCATGTAACCTCTGTGCCACGCTGGCTTTCCAGGACCTTCTCTCTTCAGGACTCAATTTGGTCCACTTTCTTCTGCCTATTAAATCTGACTGGTGGGTATATTTCTTTTTGTTCTCAGCCTGCTCTTATCTAGATGTCACTAGGCCAGAATTGATAACCTCACTCAAATTAAATCATACATGATTATTAGTATGACATCAGTTTTTGCACAGAAAACTCATTTAGTTGTTCCATCTCTTCACAACTTTGAAGGCAACATGGCCATAAGGGCACGGAGTATTTTAAAAGTTAGACCAAAAAAGTTATGGCAAGGGTAGAAGGGGGTCACAAGTGATAATTTTCTGAAACAGTGCCTACTCTCACTGGTTGAAGATGAATTATTAGATGAAAACAATATTCATGTGCTCATGCCTTGTGTATTGCCTAATAGAATATTTTATCACTTTTTTTTAAGAATTTACTTATTTGACAGCACAAGAAGGGGTAGTGGCAGGCAGAGGGAGAGGGGGAAGCAGGCTCCCTGCTGAGCATGGAGCCTGATGCAGGGCTTGATCCGCTTAACCGACTGAGCCACCCAGGTGCCCCACATTTTATCATTTTTAACATATCAGTGTGTCAATTCTTGCTCCTAAGGCAGGGGGCATTTTGATCCCAAACACTTGAAAAACGGATGAGGACTGGTTTCACCCCAAGGTGACTATACAGAATGATTTTGGGTGTCCCCAGATATATATACCCTTTAGCCAGTGGCATACAGAATCTTTGGTTACAATGCCAGCATCCCAGAAAGAATACCGTATTAGCATTATCAGTTATTATAAATTGTCAAGGGATAGTGATTCTCATCTAATATGATGGCTTGTTGAAAAGCGGGAAACTCCCGTGTTTTGAAAAGGAAAGAGGACAGGACAAAATGTCAAAGGGTTTGGTCAAGGGTTTTGTCCTAGATGGACTTAGGGTCAGAAGACAAGTGTAAGGCCAGGTTCTGCACTTCCCAGCCCACCTGGTTTGCCTCAGTGTGCCAGTCTGAAAATAGAGTGTGATACCTGTTGTAATTTAGTGTAGCTATGAAGCTCAAAATTAGGGAACATGTATGAAAGTTTTTTTGCAAGCTTCATAGTATTACACAACTGTGAAGGATTATCATTGATTTAGAGCATGGACTATTGTCCCTAAAGGTAAGTCTCTGGGGTCCCACAGTTAGATGGTGCATTGGACATCTAGGGAACAGGTTAGGAATACTGGGGCCCTTGGCAATTAAAAGAGAAGGTGGATAGAGAGGGAAGAAAAAAACCTATGTATGGAGTTTGGAGCCTCCATATTATCCAAATTTAAATGTTACCTAGACCAACATTGAGGCAAGGTCCTCTCCCAACAAATGGCCCCTTAAGAACCAAAAGCAGGAGGTGCCTGGATGGCTCAGCCAGTTAAGCTGTCTAACTCTTGATCTCAACTCAGGTCTTGATCTCAGGGTCATGAGTTCAAGCCCTGTGTTGGGCTCTGTGCTGGGCATAGAGCCTACTTAAAAATAAATACTTTTTTTTTTTAAAAGCGCCAAAGCAGAGTGGCACATCCCAGGTGCCTTTATGTACGGACACCATAAGAAACTGAGGAGCGCCGGGGTGGCTGTTGGTTGGGTGCTTCCTTTGGGCTCAGGTCATGATCCCGGGGTCCTGGGATCGAGCCCTGCGTCCAGCTCCCTGCTCAGCAGGGAGTCTGCTTCTCCCTCTTTCTCTGCTCTTCTGCTCCTCTCCGCTGCTCATTCTCTCTCTCTCAAATAAATAAAATCTTCGAACAAACAAACAGACATAAAAGAAATCGAATACACAGCATCCTGTAGTCCGTCAAACCTGGCATAACTGCAGACCAGGTAATCTGGTAAACAGCTATCACTAGCATTATCTCTGCACCTCTAGGAATCTGGCTAGACAGGCAGGAGTCAGGTTAGAAGGGTTAGGCCACATGCCTCCACGTAAAGCCTAATAGAAGAATCCAGATTCAAATGAGTGATATCTCAAAGGTTCCAAATTTAGTTCCACCTCTCGGTTCACCTTCCCAGTCCCCTGCCCTGACACCCTGATCTGGGACCTTTATTCTGCAGAAATAATTGAAGTGGGCTGAATAATTCAAGCTAAAAAGAGGAATACCTTGCTTTTTCCTTGTTATTAAAGCAGCAGAAACCACCAGAGGCGGCTAAAAAGCAATAAACCTTATTAGCACAGTATTTCTGAGAGCTTTTAAAAAGTAATAGACTCGGGCGCCTGGGTGGCTCAGTTGGTTAAGCGACTGCCTTCGGCTCAGGTCATGATCCTGGAGTCCCGGGATCGAGTCCCGCATCGGGCTCCCTGCTTGGCGGGGAGTCTGCTTCTCCCTCTGACCCTCCCCCCTCTCATGTGCTCTCTCTCATTCTCTCTCTTTCAAAAAAAAAAAAAAA